ACATTGAAACTTTAAGAGAGTTTTGTTGAGTATTTAAGCTCTAGCCTACAACACTTAGGTTGGGCCCCAAGGGGCACCCCAAGTTTGTAGAAGGGAGGAGTTATGGACAAAATGAACTTTAGCCCAAACTACCACACACGCGTGCTCGCGTTGCCGCCGCCGTCCGTCCGGCCGTGCCGGACGCGGGTGTGGGTTGTGGATCGGGTCGATTCTTGTATTAATTTTTTGGAAAAAATTCATTTGAATTTTTTTCAAAACAAATATTGCGGGAATTTAATTCAAATTTGAATTCCAATTTTTGTCCAACATTTAAGTCTCCTCTGTCCGAAATTCCTCTCAGATTCAAACTGAAAAAAAACTGCCCAGCAGGTTCGGTTTTAACTGCCCAGCAGTTACAAATCTGTTACTTCCAAACAGATTCAAAACCTGGCAGCAAATCTATTTGAATTCATAACAACATCTGTTCAAAATTTGTTTCACACCTGCTCACTTCTTTTGCACCTGTTCGGATAGGACCTTTTTTGCCTATAAATACCTACTGTTCTAGCAGTCTTTGGGATCCAAAAAATCAGTCTGCAATTTTCATATTGTTGTCCAGAATTTTCTCCTTTGCATTTTAATCTTCATTCTAGTTTTAGAGATAAAATAAAGAGAGTATAAGAACACAAGGTTCTAATTCGCCGTACAAATTTGTGTGGAGTGCTACTACAAGTTTGTGAAGATCATTGTATCCTAGGAGATAGACGTCACTCAACCATAAGCACCGTAGCGAGGCGAATCTGTCTTAAGGACAGAGTGTCACACACTCGACTTGGTCTTTCAATTTTCTTCGATAAATAAATTCGGTATGTTATTTTTATTTATTTGTTTGAATCTTGTTTCTATTTATTTTATTTACATAGAAGATTGTTCCAACACATTTATTGCTTGGAGATTTCGGGAAATCCAAAAGGCACATTTCAAAAAAAGTCCGTATGCTTTCAACGTTCAATGTATACAAAATACTATTTTAAAATGGAATCCAAAAGGCTTTGACTAAAAATTAAAATAAAACATTTCTACAACTTACACTAGAATGTTGAATTGGAGCACAAATTCCCATTAGTCCACATCCAAGATGCTCTATACCATCTTCAAGTAATTGGACTATGTTATAAGTCAAATTTTACCTTGTTCTTTCAATAATCAAACAATAGCAACATGTTTTCTGTAAGAAAAAAACACAAAACCTGCAACAGCACAAATGAATAGAACATGCAAGTGATGCAGACATATTTTCCAAAACCATAATTAATTTTTTTTTCTTGCCATACCCATTGAAAGGTTTTAATTTGCAATTGCAATCACTGCCAAACTTCCAAAGCATGGGTAAGTTCTGTCAATGGCCTATTGGCATAATTGATGAGTCATAGGTACTAACATTTCAATAAGAATAGTTGAAAACAAAAAGAATAACAAATGGCATACTACCATAAAAGTTGCTATTTAAAAGCAACTTTAACTTAGAAGTCAAGAGAGAAGGTCAAATAATGTTTCCCTGAAGAGTAGGTAACACAAAACCATTTACTAAGGGCTATTAGTCTTGGGTCCTCCAGGTACCACTCCTCATTTCCCCATTATGCTACCTAATTAGACACTGTAGATTCACTGTAAATCTAAAATTGGTAAAAAAAAAAATTAATACAAGAGATATAATTACTAATTTATTAAATATATGATTTCAAGGTCTAAAGATCGATACAAACAATCAAGAAAACTAATGGGTATAAGGGTAGATTATATGTATGCATATATACATACGTATATGCATATGATATGCTATCTCTATGTGTGTATATATATATAAACAATGCCCAAATAGTACACATTAACATGTGTTGGGGAAGGAAAAGATTGGATACACACCTAACCTTTGACATAGTACACAGAGTGGCTACCTCGAGACTTAAACTCATAACTTCAAGGTTATTAGGCTAAGATTTTTACCATTGAACCAATGGTCACCCCTGTGTGTGTGCGCGCGCATACATATATATATATATACATATATATATGTATATCTTAAATATACAAATATGAGAAAGTAACATTTCTCATAGGAAAGTAAGTTTCCAGTAAACCAAAAAATGGGTAAACAAGAAGTATTCTCATTGAATCTGTAAACAATGTTCAAGATTATCATTATCAAAGGGTTCAATAAAATCACAATACACATACACACAACGAAATGATTTTCTAGATAATAATTTTTGAAGAATTCATCAAGAAAATTGGTTGCACCTGTCTTCAACTAGCCTAAGTTGAAAGAAAAGAATTCATCAAAAAAAATTATTTATATTTTTTGGAAAATTTTGATAAAACTCTAATTTGAACAAGAGTGTTAAGATGAGTTGGGTTTTCCAATATCACACTAATCTTGCACACAACTTTCAAATCCAAAACTTCATATCAGGAAGTACTAAACAATCCAAGAAGGCACTTTTGATTCTAACATATTAATCAGAAACTCAAACGAGGTCTACAATTTCTTACATATCTATTGGTTTTCATAACAAATTCATATGATCAAAACAAGACCCAGATAAATTATTCTATCAAACAACACCATTTAAGCTCGATCCATAGATCATTTTAAGATAAGTAAATACACCAATTAGGATTATATTATTTTATTATAAATTCTCTTTTACACATTATCACGTTAAAATTAGTGTTTGTTTTATATGTCTAGATTTTTTATTTTACTTGTGTCTAATAAAAATTTGGATCTGCCAAACGTTAAAATAAAAAAAATAAAAAACTAAAACTTAAAAGTAATTTTGTAGCTTAAAAACAGAGAAAATTTATTTTATATAAAAATTTACATTGTAAAAAAAACTCGTTTAGATTTTTCTCCTTAGGTGCACTTTTAGATTTTCTCAAAAAAGCTTGAGCTCGGTCGCCTGTGTGTTTAATCAGCATGTAGATGTATAATGCTATAGCAAAGGGAAAGCAATTAAACAAATGCCAATATGATTGAGAACCGATGTTAATTTTGAATGTGAACAAAACTTAACATCATCAGCTATTCACTTTTTAGGGTTACGGTTTTGAAATCAAAGCCCTATCTTGGGTGGTTACTGATGTTAATTTTGACTGAGAACAAACCTTAATATTAGATATTCAATAAGGGTTAGGGTTTTGAAATCAAAGCCCCAATGGCACAGCTATCTTGGGTGGCTATAAATAGGAACATACCTGACCTAGAGAAGAGAGCTCTCGTAAATATTCAATTCGACTAGAAGGGAAAATATTTGCTGACAAACCCATGGTGGAGACATGAACAGAGTGATAACTTGTGAAGAAGATATCGACAATGGTGGCGTGGATCGCCGATGGGGCTGGTGGTCTTTGGCCATGGTGGAAGCTTCGGCTATGGTGGAAGAGAAGAGAAAGGTGAAGAGCAAGAAAGAGAGGCCAATCGTTCTTCTTTCGCTATGGTGGAAGAGAAGAGAAAGGTGAAGAGCAAGAGAGAGAGGCTATGGTGGAAAAGAAGAGAAAGGTGAAGAACGATGGTCCCGACGCTTGACCGTTGGACTTCAACAATCGCTGCAACTTCGGCTATGGTAGAAGAGAGAACGGAGGAGAAGAGAAGAGCAAGAGCACGAACGAGAGCAAGAGAGGGAGGCAACTGATTTAATTTGCTCTGTTTGGCAACCGGTTAGACCGGTTGCCAATTCAAAATTAAATTATTAAAATAATTTAGTTATATGATAGTTATGAGATAATATGGTATATATAAATAACTAAATATAACTAAGTTATGAGTTAATATAAGAATAGTTATGATTTATATGATATTAGTTATGATATCAAATCATATAATCTCATAACTAATGTACGGTACATCCAAATGTACCATAGCATCACCCTCATTTTCAAGCTCGACGTATCTGTTGAACTGGTCGAAAAAGTCATTCCAACCCGGTTTTATTGGTTTAAATATTAATCTCAAACCCTTAAAATAGTGGGTTAGGATTGGGGTGATAGATGGGTCAGTGCCTCTCCCTTAAATAGGAACACAATGATATGGTATGATTAATATTAATTTTTAATTTGTTACAAACTCTGCAACTCACATGTTATATCATTGTAGATTATTTAAGAATTTAAATTATGTACTTCTAGCATTTTTCGCTTAAAGAGTAAAAAAGTAATATTTAAATTTTTATTTTTTTATATTGAAACCAAATAGAGCCATTGTTGTGGTTCGTCAAGGTGAGATATCTTGTACTATTTTTACCTCCTCCAGTTAGATTGATGAGAAATTTGTATAAGAATGTAACAAAAGCCAAGTTCTCACCAAGTTGGTTTATTGTTTCCTATTTTAACAAACCAAGGGATGTTTTGGGAAGTTGGTAAAAAGTTAGCTTTTGACTTTTTACCAAACTTTTTGACTTTTTTAAAAAGTGATTTGGGAAGTTGGTAAAAAGCTAGTTTTTGACTTTTTGAGTTAATATTTGTTTATGACATCAAATCAAAATAAAATGACCAAAATACCCTTGCCAAACTTTAGAATTTTAGATAATTTGTTAACATGAAAGGTATTTACGTAATTTCATAGGACAGCATTTTTGTCACATCCCCAATGCAACAATTGCGTTTTCGGCTGGCCCAACTTTTTTTCACATCAACAAAACCCTTGCGTTTTTGTGCTCTTCTCAAAACGGTACCAAATAAAGCATGAAATGAATCCATTCTCTCTTAACCGCCGGCTCAAAATAAATTCACAATTTTGCCCCCCGAAAAAATAGCCGAAGTAGCTTTAGCTGGCAGACTAAGATTTTTCAACGGACTGAACGAAGTAATCAAAACCAACAGCTTGTTAAAGGAGAGGAGTGGTGGTCCTGAACCAACCAACCAACCTTTTCAATGACTATCTTATTTCTGTCAAAGTAGCCGTTACACCGCCCCCTTCCCTTTTCTATTTAAATATTACAAAATCCTTTTTTCTAGGCTTATTCCTCTTCTTTTCTTCTTACAGCTCCGCTCCACACCCTCTCTCTCTCTCTCTCTCTCTCTCTCTCTCTGTTCTTTAAACACAATCTATCTATATATATTTTCTATTGGTAGATAGTATCTCTATTTCTCACCCAATCCTCCTCATTCCCTTCCCACTTTCAAAATAATACAATTGAAGACATGGCTAACTCTTTGAATCATCCTGTTTCAGACACAGCACTGTCAACCCCATTGCTATCTGCAGTAACAACAACAAGAAGCTGTAGCGACACCAGCAGTGATGCCGATGACAGCCCCGCAACCTCATGTCGGTTCGACCTCCACCATCTCAACAAGTATCAAATTTCAAGCATACCCGATTGTGGGTTCAACTCATATCGATCTTTGGCAGTTCTTTCGGGCCATATTGGATCAGTTTCTTGCTTGGCCTTGTGTGGTGAATTCATACTCAGTGCTTCACAGGGCAAGGACATCATTGTTTGGCAACAGCCTGATCTGAGACAGTTCACAAAGTTCGGTCAAGGCGATGGCTCAGTCAAAGCGCTTGTCACAGTTGGTACTAAGGTATTCACAGCACACCAAGATAGCAGAATCAGGGTTTGGAAGGTGTCAAGAAGCTCTGAGAATGTATTCAGGCTTGTCGATACCCTTCCCACTACAAAGGACTACTTGGGGAAATTCATGAAGCAAAGCAATTATGTGCAGACTAGAAGGCATCACAAGCGCTTGTGGATTGAACACGCGGATAGTATCTCTTGTTTGGCGGTATATAATGGATTGATTTATTCGGGTTCTTGGGACAAGACCCTTAAAGTGTGGAGGATTTCGGATTTGAAGTGCTTGGAATCAATTAAAGCTCATGATGACGCAATAAACGGGTTGATTGCAAGCAAAGGGATTGTGTATTCGGCTTCTGCCGATGGGAAGATCAAAGCATGGGGAAAAGAGGGGAAAAAGGACTCGCATTCGCTGAAGGGAATCTTAGAGGGCCATAAGGATGTGTCCTTGAATTCGGTGATTGTGTCGGAGGATGGAAGCTTGGTTTATGGAGGGGGATCAGATGGGTATGTGATGGGGTGGTTGGGTAATGAGAATCTTGATAGTTGGAAGATAGTTTGTGATGTGAAGGCACATCAAATGGCTGTTCTGTGTATGTGCCTAATGGGGGATTATCTCTGTGGTGGATCAGCAGATAAGAGTATAAGTATATGGAAGAGAGAGATGAGTGGTGAATTGTGCAGAGTTGGGGTGATAAGAGGCCATGGGGGGCCAGTGAAGTGTTTGCAAGCATCACCTAATAGTGTTGGCGTTGGGAGTGGGAGTGGGTTCATTCTCTATAGTGGAAGTCTTGACAAAAGCCTAAGAGTTTGGTGGGTTCCCAAGAACTCTACTGGGACTCGGACAGAGGAGGAAGCCTTTATAGAGTCCAGAGACAGATCACTACAAAGTACAGATAAAAATTCTACAAATCTTGTGTTAGGAAAGTTTTTGGGATTGTGAGTGATGAAGCACTGGTTACTCGTTCTTTTTTATTCAGAGTCTCCAATGCTTGTAGTCATCTGAGATTTGAGTGTGCAAGGAGGAGAGGCCAAATTAAGGCCTTATTATCCATCTTGAAGTTGATTTTCAGAGTTTTGAGTCTTAAAATGGTTTGGGGTGTAAATCTTACGTTTTGGGCATAATTAAAAGGTCTTGGGTGTAATTCATAGGAAGTAATCAAAGGGATACTACAGAATGGTGTGCTTTTTTCCTCTTATTTATAATCTTTTATTGTTTGTGAATTGTAATTAGGAGATTTTATGTGATTCCATTTAATAAAGAATTTACATATTTGACAGTTATGCATCCATCTAGAAATTCTTTTGTATTTTTCTTCTTTTTTTTTTTTGGTTACTAATCGGTAAGAGAATGGAGGAAGCGCAAGAGTTTGGGGGATCCAAATTAGTAAAAAAGCGTCTCATCCGCCAAATCAATCCCTTGGTCACTCTAATTTAGAGCCTTTTTGCTCTTTCTTTCTTTTTTATTTGTCTCAATGGAAAATGTTTGTGCTAGCAACAAAATTGAGCTAACCTTGATGAGAGAGATGGGACCCTGGTGACTAAAATAAGATGGTAATATATGTATAATAAGGACCATAATTAGTGTTTGTTGAGGGATGAGTTAAGGAATCTCTCCCTAAATTATATGATTTTTTTTGGGTTTTCTTCCTTCAATCAGTATGTTTTTCTTCCCTTCGGTTGCTGCAAGGTTGGTGATACAATAATAATAATAATAATCTTAATCTTTGAGGACCATCCTCCAAAACGTAGAAAAAAAGGACAGTAGTGTAGCCAAAAAAAACAAGGAGTTATTGTCAAAAACAAAAATAGAGGGTGTCGATGAACCGAGCTACCTACTAGAAATATTTTTAAGAACCTAGCTACGGTCTTTTGTGGTTCAAAGATTTTAATTTTGTCTGCCAATGTTTTCCTCTATGCAACATTACCCAAGAACTAGATCTTAAAGACTCTTCAAGAAAACTAATCAAAATTAATGCATTAACCGCATAAATAAGTCGGTATTCATACCTAACATTGTAAAAGAAGAAGTACAAAACTTTTCTGCTTGAGTTATTTATTTATCATTTCATTTCATGAGCAAAATTTTATTCCCGAGTTATTTCCTGCTACCCTGCTTTATTCTAGTCTTGTGTTCGACTAATTAACAAAATCTTAGCCTGGAAGTCTGGACCACTTCACAAGTTAAGAAAATTCTTTAAATTGATCAGAAAGCAAGAGAGGCTGCTCCAATTTACTTTTCATTCAAAGACCAGTCCAGTTTAAAAAACACAATGCATTCTTTTATTCTTTTTGACCAGAGAACCATTCCCTCAATAGTTTTCTATTCTTCCTTGAGCTGGGTCCTTTCTTTATTTTCTTTTAATATATATACTTATTTCTATTTTATTCTTTTCTTGGACTGGACTCAAAAACAAGAATGGGTTAGTTAATTCACCATGAAGGAAGAAAGGAGGAACCTTCTCAAGGAACAACCTAAAGAGGGCGGTGCTGATTTATCTCGACCATCTCTCAAAAACTGTTTTTAAAATTGTCCATTTATCTGCATTTTTCTCCAGCCACTGTTCTTTGAGTAATAGGAAACCAACCACCCTTTATATTAGACAATGGATGTGCTTTTTGGTGGAGAGAGAGACAGAGGAGAGAGAGAAAGAGAGAGTTCAATTGTTCCATTTGAAAAGAAAGCAAAGGACCATTCAACAAGCAAAAACAAAACTTACAATCCACCGAGACTTTGCAGAATGGTTTGTTACAACTTTGAGGCCCCGTTTGTTTTGGAAAATAGAGGGGATTAATAGTGGGGAGATTGATAAATAGTGAGGAGATTGATAGTGAGGAGATTAATAGTGAGGAATTGTTAAATTATTTTTATATAAAATAATAAAACAAATAAAAAATATAAAAATTAAACATTAATATTTTAAAAAAAATTCCCAATATATAAAAAATAAAAAAAAATAAAAAAATTTCTAATCCCCTCACTATTTTTCTAATATCATCTCTACCTCTTCCTTACCAATCCCCCTTCCTCCTCTTTACTAGTCCCAAGGGATTACAGTCCCCTCCCCATCTCTCAAAACAAACACCATATTCTCAATCCCCTTCTCACTATCAAACTCAATCCCCTCCCTATAATCACAAACAAACGGGCCTGAGGACCATCATAAAAAAAAAATTAAAGAAACGAAAAAAACCAAACAACCAACCTGGGCACTGCAGAAATAATATATTATTTTTCAATGGGATAAAATATGTGTAAGGGAACAACAGTTTTATAATTGTTGGAAAATGGATCGGGTTTAGAATTCACACATGATTGGGTTGCCCATGATGGCATGACCCATAATCCATTGAGAGACCCTGTTAAGAGAGATTTATTAGTGCATATAAGTCACTATCTTATCTCTAGTTACAATTCTTCCACATAATATAGGTATTATATTTTGGAGAGTAATAATTTTAACCGGATGGATAATTTGTTTTCTCTCTCTCCTATACTCTTTCTTCTTTTTGCCTCCATAGAAACACATAATAGACCTTGTACTGTGAATAGTGTGAATAGTTCTTTAGTAGTTTTATTTCACTATTGGGAATTATTTGAAGACATCAATGGAGGCACACGATTCACCCACATGATCCATGGATTCGGTTTGAGCGTAAAGGTATGTCCGAATCCGTTTATTTTTGCTTCGTATGGTTTCTTATTTTTTCTACAATTCCAATCACATTAATGTAATGGATCACATAAAATCTGAAGCTTGATTTGAAGAAAAAGCTGAAGAGATTAAACAAGGAAAAATAAAGGGAATGTGATTGGATCTACACAAAAGTGGGGGAAAGGAAGGAGAAACAAACAAGAGTGTAGGAACGAGCTAGGAGAAGCAGACAAGAGCGTAGGAACGAACTAGGCCCAAGCACTAACTTTCTTTGAGATCTGAATTGTTTTAGACAAGAATTGACCTTCTAAACGAGTTATTTTAACAAATTAATCATCCAATTATTTTAAGGAAGTTTTGTTTGCAAGATGCATAAATAAAAGAATGTGATACATGCATCTCAAGTTGCTTTCTTCTCCAAATATTAAAACAAAGGAGTAGTAACTTTATTAATTCTAAACAAAGTTGAGTGGAAGCTTTTCTTCCTAAATCTTAAAGATTTCAATTTTTTTTTTTCATTTTAAACCTTTTTCTATCTATTCGATATTTTAAACAAAGCATTGAGCTTTATTAAAATCAAAAGAGGAGCACGAGAGAGAGAGAGAAAAAGATGTCAAAAGAGTTCCTATAAACAGCGTTCGATCACTGCTGGAAATGAGGGTTTTAGCGGCGTTTAAAAAACGCCGCTATAGGTCCTAAAAACGCCATCTAAACCTTTTGTGACGTTTTGCACCAAGCGCCGAAGACGCGGCCGTCGCTATAACTTTGTGACGCTTTAGAAACGTCGCTATATTAAAAGTTCTACTATGACATCACCAAGCTATTTAGCGACGTTTTTAAAACGCCGTCGTTTCTCTTTTTAAAAACTCTAACTGTTGATATAATATTTAGCGACATTTTTAGAACGCCATGATAGCCTCCCATTTAAAAAAAAAAATTCTGCTAATTTTATGTGATTGAACTAAAAAAACTGAAAAATAACACTAACATGAAATAATAACTCTTATTCAAATATCAAATACAACATTAGTTCACTTTCCCATTCAATTTAATATCCAATTACCATTAATCACAAAATAACATATTCACAAATCATGTTTTAACAAAGACATTAACAGAGAAAGAAGTGTTTAACTCAAATTGATTCAAATTGATGAGAGAGTTCACTGTTAGTCTTCATTGGTCTATATACCTGCATCAGAACATAAATTATAATCAAATTCACCAAAATAAACATAAATTGGAGAATTTGTGAACTTAATTTTCTTAATCACTTGATTGCATTTATTTATTTTTAATTGTTTAATTTTTTTGGTAGAGGTGGTTAGAGTTTTGCTCCTGACACAAATCTATGATTTAAGTTACAACTTTACTCCTTCAATAGTATTTAAACAAAAACTAGGGCTAAAATTTTTGTTTTCGTCCAGAATTGAAAAGAAGCTTTAAAAACAATTTAGATTTTAACAGAAGGCCCTGTTTAAGGGATTTATTGCATTTCTTTATTTATTATTTTTCCAAAAAAGACTAAAGCCCATCAATAACAGGGCAACCTTCCATGTTCAATAGAGAGAGAGCTTGTGCAAACCTGCAAGGCACACAGAATAAGAGAGACTATTTTTACAAAGAATTGCAACACTTGTTTGCTTTTCTTGTTGATAAATGAAAAGTGCTTTAATACACTATTGTATTCAAAAAACTATTCATGGAAATCACATCTGCTCTGCAACATATTCGAAGATAAAAAACTCACTCACTTAGAATGACCAAGGCAAAAGCTCTGTATCTCATGAGCTCCATCTAAAGTCTTCTTTGGAAACAGGGTAACCTGTCACAAAATAAAATTGTTGAAAACAAATTGAAATGGAATTTAATATTTAATAATTTATTTGTTTCAATGGGTAAGAAACGTCAATTACACGAATTTTAAAATCCCGATCAGCACTAATAATGAATCGTCCATCCGGTGAGAATTCCTACAAGAACATAAAATTGTTTAGAAAAAGCCCAGCTTAGAAGTAAAGGTCATTCATGCATCCACACAAATGTAGCCCTAATTTCAAAGACTTTTATGTAATAACTCATAAGAATTTAACAATGTGTATAGGAGTAGAGAAAGAATACATATATATATATATATATATAAACCTCAAAAACATTGGCAGGAAAAATTGTAGAAAAAAGATAATGATAAAATCTATTATGTCCAATTTATTCCTGTTATTCATGGGAAAATGGAGGGAATAACCAATGATTCACCAAAAATAAAAACTAAAAAATAAAACTTAGCAGAAATGTCTAGGACAATAAACTTGGGTATGGCCAATTCACAATCAATTTATATTCACCTCATCTATTTAACTTATGCTGCTATAGAATAGTTCTTAATTGAGGTTCTAATTTGAATGATCATAGAGATAACTTTCCAGCATCATGTATAAAGCTATTTTATATATTTGAAACTTGAACCAAATTCCTATACAACAAAAGGATTATAAGTATCAATTCAAAACAAAGTCATATATTGGTAAAAGATTTCCTTTCTCGTGTTATACAGTTGCAGGAAACCCATAATTATATTTAATCTGAATTGGGTTCAAGGAGGCAAAAGCATCGTTACCTCTACTAATAGTGTCAACTTTTTGTGGTCTGCAATGAAGAAAATTGAGGTTCAGGATTGATTCTTTTGGATGCAAATATCATATCATATTCAGATTCATATGAGAGAGAGAGAGAGAAAACAACCGATAACAGAAGTGACACAATGTGTACATGCATAAAACTCCCTACCCACAGGCAACATAGAAGGCAACTACATCACAGGAAAACACAATTTTTTGAGATTAAAAAATGATAATAATAAATAAATAAATTTGGCAATTTATTGTCTAGCTCAGCATATCTCTCACGCTTTTCTAAAGGTTTGTGCATATCTAGTTTTCATCATCCACCTAATTGTGCTGGTTCAACATATTGAGGAGTTTAGAAAGCAATTGGAACAAATATACAACCTGTTCTGGATAAAATCAACTGGAACAAAAATACAACCTGTTCTGGATAAATTAAGACATGCACACTATAGGCTTTTAATATAAGTTAGTATTCTACAAACACTGAAATTATCAATAGAAATATTTCAGCTCAGCCACATGCTTGCAACTGTGCACCTAATTACTATGTAAGCCCGAATTTATCAGGACTTCCTTTGATATCATGCAAAATTTCAGCATGCATCACACACAGCTTAATATGACTGAGAAAAGTGTAGAAAATGAGTAAATGTAAGGGCACAGATCAACACTTACTGCACTCCACTACAGTTGGTGTAAACAAAGGTCCAGAAAGTAGTGCACACATATTGTGGCCCCTGATTGAAGAACACATGTCAGCCATAGGCTCAGTTTCCTGTAGTGCACATATCAGATTCTTTGAATGAGTTCCTATGGTTTGAATACTCACCTATGAAGTATAGGCTCAGTTTGATCAACTGAACATTAAGATTTCACATCACACATCAAAATAAGCAATAAGATTTTACCTCACACGTCAGATTCTTTGATTGAGTTCCTATAGAACAACTTGCATACTTTACTTTCCATTGGATTTTATCTGGTCAGCATTTTACTCCTAATTTTACAGATCTTTGACTTTTATTTTTTATTTTTATCAATCGATAAGAGAGTAACTAAAAATTTTAAAAATATTTATATTATCTAATAAGCCACTAGCATACAATAATTAGAAAATCAATATAGTCTGACAATTGTAGGATCCAAGACTGGAATTGAACTTTTGTGAGCATTCACAAGCTGTTCAAATGTTGTACCAATCATCAACAGTTCTTTATAGCTTCTGGATTGAGTAATTTCTCCACCTTCTATAACCTAGGGAAAAAAACATATGTATTCTATGCAATGAATTGAAAGCTAGTATGTAAATACAAGAGTGGCAATTCAAAGTATTTGCAGGGAAAGGAGGCAGCAATGAGCTACCACCAAGTGGAGTGCCATCCTCTTTATCGGTGTGAATGGAGAAATTTGTATTTGGTGATAAATCCATTAACCTTTCAGAAATAAAGTCATCTTCCATGCATTGATCATCATCTCCAAGACCCACTGGAACAAGATGCGTTCCACCTGCAAATGATAAACATAATCATCAGCAAAACAGAAATAAACACTAACTCAAGGTAACAAGAGCACGATTGGAAGAGACAATGACACTTCACCCATCACCTGAAGGAATATAATTTCTCCATTAATATTTCAATAAGTCATCTTTTCACTCTTTGTTTATTTGCAAATGTAAAGCCCACTTCAATAGAGTTATATGGCATGGTACTCAATTCTCTTGGCAATCACAACAATGGGATAGATGTAAATTGGAGTATGTCCTAGAGTGAAGTCACTTACACAAACCTCCACACAACCAAACAAGACCTACATTTTTTTGACTAGCAACAAATTGTTTATTTCTGTACTGTCTTAGCGATGCAAATAGTACAGTAAACATGTATATTTGCCTATGGTAACAGAAATTACAAGAAACTAGGACTAAAATATTATTACAACGCATGTTTCAAACAGAAGGCAATAGCATGCATGGTTAGGACTAAATACAATGGTAACATTCAACAATTTATAGAGATGTAAGTCACCACAATTTATCAAAAAAATTTAACGGTAATCAACAGAAGCAGAAAAGTATTGCTATAACTTTTCCCATGTCCAATCCACAGTTTAGCATTCACTATTATGAGCAGCAGATTCAAGGAGGGGAAGGAAGGTTTAAGTCATCAAGAAGAAGTGCATACTCTGAAATTGCTTCATAGCCATCATCTGCAGGGGAGATTTGCGAATGCAAAGGTAGAGGCCTCCATTCATGCCCAGATATGGGAAATTGAGGTTTGTTGGCTTGTTGCATCCCTATTTATTCATGGATTTTGTTTTAAGGCAGGCACTCCTTGAGAACCTCAAAGTGCTAGTACATATTTCTCATTAACCAATGACCTCTTAGTGGCGGCTGTAAATTATATTTACACTCCCTCATTCATTTCAGCATAGAACAGAAAAGGTTAGATTAGTTTAGTTTTGGCTGATTATTTGGTTATCTGGATTATGAATTAGCACCCAATACATGAAACTTTCACTAGTTTTGTTCAACATCTTTGCGTCATATCACATGTGCTATATAATAGTTCAAATGGAATATCTTCAAAGAAGATACCAGAAAGCTGGTTCAACACCAAGAAAACTCATCATCAAAGTAAAGTTAAGACAGTATCTTTCATGAATGAGAAATGTCAGAACGGTTCTACTTTACGAATAAACATTCAGTTTCCATAAGCAGTGTTTCATCGTGGAAGAACATCATCATTATCAACAGTAAACAAGTCCAGAATAGCCATAAGTCATGACTAAAGTAGAAGGGCACCCAAATCAGACAATGAAAATAGAAAGAAAGATCTACTTGTATTGCCAAACATACCTTGGTTCTCAGGGCACGAAGTGATCCATCTGAATCTGTGAGATTGTCCAAGCAATGAAGAGCAACCTTCAAAACGTCTGGCACACAAGCTTGGACATGGGCTGACAAATTTTGGAACGCATCATTTGCAATATCAGGCGCTAGTGGATCTAAAGGAAGAAAATAAAGTTTTGCAACCTCCCTCAGGGCATCTAAATGACATCCCGCTCTCGCCAATTTATGGATAGACAATATGGCCTCAAGCTGCCTTAACACAGTTTGTTGTTCTGAAACTTGTTCTCTCTCTTGACACCTTGGACAAAGTGATACAAACCTTATGGGTAGAACTTACCCACGAAAATCGGCTTGCAAGGGGGGGTGTCCAAACAGACCTGTATTCACAAGGCCTCTGTGTTTTGATGTGGGATGATGGGATCATAACACAAGCTCCTTTAAAAAGACGTTTAAATAAGAAAATGGAATTTGATGCATCAAATTGCACTGGCCATTACAACATACAAACAAAAGATTGCCCTGTAACATAAAGTCATTGCCCAAATAACTTAAAACAGGACAAATATCCAAATAGGTTTGATTATTGATGTCCTATAGTGGCCTTATATGAGTTAATTGACTCATTTCATAAACAAAGATCATCTCCACATCATTACTCTTCACTCTTCAGAATCCTTTGAATTGTAATATGGATGTTTGATCAACTTCAAAAATGGAAGGCCAATCCAAAAAAAAACTTCGAAGGTGGAAGGGGCATCAATTTAAGCCATTAAATCTGCAAATGAATAAACTAACTTACAAACTATAAAGCCAGAACGACAAATAAAACAAAATACCACATAAATAAAGAACTCATTTTTGATGAATAATATTGACGTCTTCAAATATTGAATGTTCACTAAATCAAACATACAGCAAAAAAAATGTATCCAATCCTTGACATATACACACAAATTTCACATGCACAAACAAAATACATACAAAACACTGATGATCATGGACGAGAGAGAGGGGGAGAGAGAGAGAGAGAGAGGGTACCTCTTTATTCAAAATTATGATGCTGCTCTTCTCACAGAGATTGAAAGCCCTAAAGAACAAAATCCACAAAAATATCAAAATGCCAACCCCCCAAAAAAGAAACGAGAAAGAAAACAAAAGAAGAAACAACAATTGAAAAAATAAAAAAATAAATAAAAATTATAATCTTGAGTCACGTATCGATTTTTTCTTTTAACTGGAATCACAGATCGATCAATTTCAATTTCATAGTTCTTGGTTACAATTTCAATTTCAATAACCAAATCGAGAGAGACGGAAGGAAGAGCTTGTGAGAGACAGAGAATCGATACCTTGCTGGTGCAGATGATGGTGGCGGTGGAGCTTCGAAATCAGAGATTCAGATGAAATCGAAATCAGAGAAATCGAGCCGGTGTAGACGGTGCTGGCGGTGGAGATTCGAAATCGAAATCGCTCTGAATCTCAAAGATGAATCTGTGAGAATGACAAGGGCTTAGAGAGGGTTGAGAGAGGCGAGATTTGAAGCTGTGAGGATTCCAAACAAGATGAACTTCGAAATCAAAATCAAAATAGCCAAGATGAATCACCGAGATTGTATCATTCTGAGATGAATTGATCCATTGAGATGAATCGATCCATTGAGAGGGTTGAGAGAGAGAGCAAACGAGAGAGTGAGTGAGTAAAAGATTAGGGCTACAAAATGAGTGAGTGAAAGATTAGGGCTTCAGAGGCTCGCCCATTTAAGGGAGAAAGAGAGAGGACATTTGAAGGCGCTTTAAGACGCCTTCTTTGTTGAAACGGTACCGTTTTAATATTTTAAAAAAGTGACATTTAAAAAACGCCGTCGAATATTATAAAATATGACGTTTAATAAAACGCCATTAAAAGAACGTCGTCAAAACTCATATTTCCTGTAGTGGATTGTGGTGACATCATAAATCTTTCAAATGATGAATTTTCCAAACACTTGTTATGGACATTTTCATAGTAATCACATTTTCATAGTGACGGAAGTGATGAAAAACAGGATTTAAAAGACTTGAAAGCAACAATTCAGATTTTGATGGGTCAGATTGTTTTTTTCCATCTTCGTAACTTGTAATGATGCCATATGCCATGCAAGAAACCAAAATAAACAACCTTCTTTTGAATTGGCTCCATGATTTGTTTTTCACCCATTCTACACCATTTAAGATTGTAACCCTATTTAATGGTATCATTGTCAAGACCCAAACCCGTCTCTAGAGATTTAGATCATAATTGGCCAGCAATCACTTGATTACCTACGGCCTCATACAAAAAAATACAAAATAATGACAATAATGGGGTCATAAGTGGAAGCATATCATAATAAAGAAGTCTATTGGGTTGTGCCCATATGATCAAAATATACATTGCTTATATCACAGCACATCACACACACTTACATGTCCAAGCAAAAACTTATGTACAATAAGCTCCATACAAGTTTACATATCCCAAGACCATTTAGAAAAATCAAATCAAAGGTCATAATAGAATGTGAGTCAAAGACAAAAGTTCCTTCTTGGAGACTCAACCAACAGGTTCACAAAATAACTCCTGAAGAAGACTCTAAAGTTGGGCTTCATACTGCTAATCACCTACATATGCATACATAATGTTAGTGAAAATACTACAAAAAATTATATTTTATTGATAAATAATGCAAAAGAAATTGAGATACAAATAGATCAGGCTGAGACACGGATATCTCATTTTCTTTAAGGAGATCAAGCCCACTACGGTAGGAAGAACCCAAATACCGATGCAGCAGTCACAAAACTATGACTTGTCCCCTTCAGGATACAACAGCCCGACCACTTGTCGTATGATTCAGGCCAACTCTGGACAAGATGGTGAACCCAAAGCTCCACCAAGAAAACACCCTTCTTTGCTAGTAATCTCTCTTGTATAGAAAATAGGTTGTGTATTGGTAAAGAAAAGAGTAGATGAGAGAAACTATTTATACGCCATTAGGACCTTACAAATTACACCAAAATAATGATGATCATTAAACTAAAGAGAATGGAGAGACTCCAAAAATTAACTCACCACCAAGTTCATGAATTCTAATTAATCTCCATTCATGAACAAGATAAAAGAAGATTCATGAATAAAATATATAAATAAATAAATAAAAGATATTAAAATGGTCCAACACATAATATAGCGTGAGCGAAGCTCAATGAGTAATAATACGGTAAAGAGTTGTAAATGAATGGGCGCAAGTTTCATACAATGTTCATAGTCACATTACGGAACGGCCTTGGGCCCAAGATGATACGGAACGGCCTCAGGCCCATCATATAAACAGAACAGTCTTAAGTCCAACATATAAACAGAACGGTCTCGGGCCCAACATATAAACAGAATGGCCATAGGCCCAACATTTATTAGAACAGCCTCGGTCCCACATATTATCAGCTAATCAGAACGAGCTTAGGTCCAATCATATGATATCATATCGTTAATAAAACGGCCTCGGGCCCACACTTAGTACAGAATGGCCTCGGGCCCAAACATATCATAGTATAACATAATGACCCTAGGTCCACATTGCATATGTCATATAACTTTCATGAACCCATTCATTTCGATCAAAACACAATAGCGGACTAAATCATCGTTCATAGCTCAAGTAAGTAATTGAGAACATAGCTTTACAATACTATTACTCACAGTGCGTTTGGTCTTGCGACGTTTCCTCCGACACACGACCTACACAAACATTTCACACACATATTCGATAAATAATCCGTTTCAATTCATATGCTTTTCTTCTAGTTATTTGTTTTACTATTCATTCATTTTCCTTTCATTTTTAGGCATTGCGGAGGGGCAAAACATGCTCATAAATGAATTCAAAGGGTAGGAGAAGTTAACAGAAAACATAGGTTTTTCCCTTTTCACACGTGCGGAAGCCCTTCACCACACATGCGGAAGGTGCTGCACCTACGGCCACACGTGCAATTAAAGAAGTGTGCCCTTGTTCAACCCTGTGTTCCGCATGTGTGGGGCTCCCAGCAGCACATGCGGTTCTGGGCAATTCAGTCCAGTCTAAAAATGGCTCAAAGTGTGATCTTCTATATTCATTTCCAAGCCCAATTTCATGCAAAACTAACTCAAAAACATGATATACTAACATGATTCAAAGGTAATTTCACATCAAACACACCAATCTTGCTTCAATATCAAATTCATGGTCTCATCTTTTCCATAAATTCTTAAATTACATTTTCAAGCTCAAAACACATGTAAACATGGATGATCTTTCAACAAATCTTTGTTGGTTAAACAATTTAGAGCTTATTTCATGCATTAATCACATGATTGAGCTCAAATCAAACAAAGTTGAAGAGGTTTCTTGAATCTAGTTCAAACCATTTCACAACCCAAAACCCTAACTCAAAATTTTCAATTTTCTCTTGATTTCAAGCAAAAGATGAGCTATATACAAAGATTCTAAGTAGATTTCCATACCTTACCTTCAATCTAGGGTTTGCCCTTGAATCTCTTCCAATCCCTAGCTTTCCTCTTCCTCTCTCTCTAACTCACTCTCTAGCAAAAGTTCTCAAGAATGATGAACTCAAGAAGCTATATGCATATATACATAGGCTAATTAACTTAATTAATCATTACGAATCGCAATTTTATAAAATTTCATAGTAGGCTCTAAAAATCATGCTAAACACGGATATGAAGTCGGTTTTGGTTTCTAGTGCCTCTAAGGTTTTCAATTTCAGTTCAGAGTTGTAATTACAACAAATATTCCTACGTTCAACAAATATAATTACAAAATCACATAATTCACATGCTCAAGCTTGAAAATTCATATCAAACACATAGCACATGTATAATTAAGCATAATACAGGTTGGGTTATCACAGTCATGATGTACACAAAAGTTCATTTAATTTCGTCATTGTCATATGTTTGACTTTGTTGAATATGAGTACATTTTGGATGTGAATGTGAAATTGGAAACCATGATCACCTCAATATCCTAAGCAAATGATGGAGACAGGATGCCTTTGGCCTATATGTCCCATTTGGATCATAATAGGATAAAATCATAAATAAATTCCAAGCTTGACGTTAACGGATTAAATCAAAAAGGTATCTCTTCGTTTGGAAATGTCTCAACAATCAAAACCCATCGCTTTGTAGTGATTTAAGATGCTTTCCAAACAACTTTCATTATTTAGGCCTTCAATTTTGTAGTTAAGCTTAACTCAAATTTGTTATTCTTAGTAATTTTTTATTTTTAAATTTTTTTCTATTTCTGTCTTTTTAATTAGCAAGGAATTGGCTTTTATTGTTGTTTCCTAGGACACTTGGTTCACTCTATTATTTATTATAAATTTAGTTGTAGACCTCTAGGATGAAATCAATTTTTTTATAGATTATTAAAGTTTAGGCCTTCAATTTTGTAGTTAAGCTTAACTCAAATTTGTTATTCTTAGTAATTTTTTATTTTTAAATTTTTTTCTATTTCTATCTTTTTAATTAGCAAGGAATTGGTTTTTATTGTTGTTTCCTAGTACACTTGGTTCACTCTATTATTTATTATAAATTTAGTTGTAAACCTCTAGGATGAAATTAATTTTTTATAGATTATTAAAAATAAAAATAAAAAGAGTTCTCTCTATTGTGAAGTGGGAGATTATTCTT